GACTACCTCTATGAACTGTCTAGATCTAACATCATTATTCATGATGATCAGTGTTTTCGTCTAGCAAATAACTAAGTTATAATATTGAAAATATGTCTTACAACACTTTCCTTTTCTGGATTGTGAAGTCCCTTGCAAATTCCTTACACACAGATAAATAGTACAATAAACTGTCACTTCTTGAAGTCTTTTTGGTGGTTTTCTCTTTCAAAGCCTGTAGTGTGCAGATGGAGTTATTTTTTTTTCCTTTATTGGCTCTTCTGTCACTGGAAGAATTTTTCCTAGCTAGGTTGTCGAATAAAACCATTGGCGGCTCTATCCTTGGTGATTTTCTTGAAGTGGGCTCGACCAGAAACTTGGTCTCCTTAGCAGGTTGACTTTCCACTCTTCTTTTTTGTTACTCAATGAGCCATTTCTCACTCAAAAGATGATCATGACAGATTATCGTAGGCTTGAACCACCTGTTTTTCTGGATTTTGTAAACCACAAAATATAGTCCTTCCCAACATGTACTTAATATTTGAATTAATCCTTTCTTGCAAAGGGAATTGTTCAGTCATACCATGTTACCTTGTTGAAATTTGGTCTTATCAACGTTAACCTCATAGTGACTTTTCAAGCTCATTTAGGAGTTTCCCAGGTAAACGTCTTTATATTTCAGATTCACGAGAGTTCTTCCAAACATTAATCCCTCAGGACATGCCAGAGTGTTTGGTTCCACTGCATACTGCTCAAAAGATGTAGATTTATTTGTACTGACTTATTGTATGAATATTTCACTTTTTGGTGGTACAATGACCACACTTCTTGTTTTCACTGAAAGTTCAACCTCTGGTATAGTAACTGCCACATATTACATATCGATTTCCTGGTCATAGACTGTACAGATATTTGAAGCCAACCTAACCACACATCCATGTCTCTACATGAAATCAGTTCCTAATATGCACTCTTTATTGATGTCAATTACCCACATATCATAATGTGTAGAGAAGCTTCTTCCAATAAGAGTAACCTCCAGCTTGAATTTTGTGCTCACTTGCTGTTTTGGCATCAGTCCTTTTTCTTTCTTCATCTCTGGAAACAACTTGCCTCCTTTAATTAATTTGATAAATTGGTTTGAAAACTATAGTTGTAGCACCAGTGTTGATCAACACAGTGCAAGGTTTTTCATGAATAAACCCATGGTCTCTTGGAGATTTTCCTCAAATAATGAACTTTTTATTCCATTTGCCCCAAATGGAGTATTCACAGTTGAGCTTCGACCCATAAGTTCAGCCAATTCTTGTTTTCTTGATCTGTGATTAGCTCTATGTTGCTTCTTTGACCTAGATGGGATCTGTCTCCTTGGCTTAATAACAATTTTGAAGGATTCACAAGCTACAGATGGCAGAACAGCAGTAGTAATAGGTGTAGACAAAACAGTCTTTCGTATTTCATGTTAAATGGTGTTTTTGGTTTAAATTATTTTACAGATGTGGAAAGTCGTTTGAGAAGTGTGGCTGGTATAATCTTTTCATTTACCAATTCGTTTTCTGAATGTTTTATTCTGTCACTGATGTTTTTTCTAACTCCATGATCTCTTTTTGTACCTCTAGGATTTTGTTATTACAGCTTTTCAGTACTTCTTCAATTTTGTAAGTAAAGCCTTTCTACATCTTCAATCTTATTGTTGTAATCCTTCTGTAAATCTCCAATAGCTTTATCAAATTTGCTTTTAATCAGATTTATTTTTATGCCTAATTCTTCTTTAAAAATTGTATCTATTTCTTTAAATTTTTTTCATTCTTCTTGTTATTCTTTTTATTTTATCTCTTTTTTTCCATGCTCTTGTTTTAATTTACTGTCTCTCATTTCTTGATCTTTTTTTCCACAGTTTCATTATTTATAGAAGATTTTCAATCTCGCTACCTTCCATAATTTTCATCATCTTGAAATTTAGTCAAAATTCCATTTTACTTTCACCAAAATAATCCAACTTCTGACATAGACGTTTTAACATATTCCTATCGTTGGCTGGGTTCAATCGAATTATTCGGTGAAGATAAATAGAAGTTCGGCCCAACTAATAATAACAAATTAATTTATTTCTTCTATAACGTTTTGCTACAGGATATATACATTATCATACAAGTTGTAGGTCTAAGTTCACAAACAGTGTTCTCACTTTTAATAGAATTTGAATTATTATTGTTACCTACCCATAACTGACAAATTCAAAACTTACAGAATTTTCTTGCTAATCGATTGAGTGACTGAATAAACTCAATAACTCACACTGTCTAATATTGAACTGAAACACTCCCTGAATTCTCAAATCGAATTTTCACATACTCTTTATTGATATGTATAATGCACTTTAATTTCTCGAAATTCCACTAAATTTCCAAATTATTACATGATCATGAATTTTCTAAATATTGTTACGTCTCCGTTCGTTAGTTAATTTTCCGTAAATTCGTTCCGACGAAACTTTAGCGACACAAGTCCTTTC